ATAAACTCGGTGTAGTAATAAGCTCGGTGTAGTAATAAGCTCGGTGTAGTGATAAGATCGGTGTAGTAATAAGCTCGGTGTAGTAATAAACTCGGTGTAGTGATAAGCTCGGTGTAGTAATAAGCTCGGTGTAGTAATAAACTCAGTGTAGTAATAAGCTCGGTGTAGTAATAAACTCGGTGTAGTAACAAACTCGGTGTAGTAATAAGCTCGGTGTAGTAATAAGCTCGGTGTAGTGATAAGATCGGTGTAGTAATAAGCTTGGTGTAGTGATAAGCTCGGTGTAGTAATAAACTCAGTGTAGTGATAAGCTCGGTGTAGTAATAAGCTCGGTGTAGTAATAAGCTCGGTGTAGTGATAAGATCGGTGTAGTAATAAGCTCGGTGTAGTAATAAACTCGGTGTAGTAATAAACTCAGTGTAGTAATAAACTCGGTGTAGTGATAAGCTCGGTGTAGTAATAAACTCAGTGTAGTGATAAGCTCGGTGTAGTAATAAACTCGGTGTAGTAATAAACTCAGTGTAGTAATAAACTCGGTGTAGTAATAAACTCGGTGTAGTAATAAACTCAGTGTAGTGATAAGCTCGGTGTAGTAATACGCTCGGTGTAGTAATACGCTCGGTGTAGTAATAAACTCAGTGTAGTAATAAGCTCGGTGTAGTAATAAGCTCGGTGTAGTAATAAACTCAGTGTAGTGATAAGCTCGGTGTAGTAATACGCTCGGTGTAGTAATACGCTCGGTGTAGTAATAAACTCAGTGTAGTAATAAGCTCGGTGTAGTAATAAACTCGGTGTAGTAATAAGCTCGGTGTAGTAATAAACTCAGTGTAGTAATAAGCTCGGTGTAGTAATAAGCTCGGTGTAGTAATAAGCTCGGTGTAGTAATAAACTCGGTGTAGTAATAAGCTCGGTGTAGTAATAAGCTCGGTGTAGTAATAAACTCAGTGTAGTAATAAGCTCGGTGTAGTAATAAACTCAGTGTAGTAATAAGCTCGGTGTAGTAATAAACTCAGTGTAGTAATAAGCTCGGTGTAGTAATAAGCTCGGTGTAGTAATAAACTCAGTGTAGTAATAAGCTCGGTGTAGTAATAAACTCAGTGTAGTAATACGCTCGGTGTAGTAATAAACTCGGTGTAGTAATAAGCTCGGTGTAGTAATAAGCTCGGTGTAGTAATAAGCTCTGTGTAGTAATAAGCTCGGTGTAGTTATAAACTCGGTGTAGTAATAAGCTCGGTGTAGTAATAAGCTCGGTGTAGTAATAAGTGTAGTAATAAACTCGGTGTAGTGATAAGCTCGGTGTAGTGATAAACTCGGTGTAGTAATAAACTCAGTGTAGTAATAAACTCGGTGTAGTAATAAACTCGGTGTAGTAATAAACTCAGTGTAGTGATAAGCTCGGTGTAGTAATACACTCGGTGTAGTAATACGCTCGGTGTAGTAATAAACTCAGTGTAGTAATAAGCTCGGTGTAGTAATAAGCTCGGTGTAGTAATAAACTCAGTGTAGTGATAAGCTCGGTGTAGTAATACACTCGGTGTAGTAATACGCTCGGTGTAGTAATACGCTCGGTGTAGTAATAAACTCAGTGTAGTAATAAGCTCGGTGTAGTAATAAGCTCGGTGTAGTAATAAACTCAGTGTAGTGATAAGCTCGGTGTAGTAATACGCTCGGTGTAGTAATACGCTCGGTGTAGTAATAAACTCAGTGTAGTAATAAGCTCGGTGTAGTAATAAGCTCGGTGTAGTAATAAGCTCGGTGTAGTAATAAACTCGGTGTAGTAATAAGCTCGGTGTAGTAATAAGCTCGGTGTAGTAATAAACTCAGTGTAGTAATAAGCTCGGTGTAGTAATAAGCTCGGTGTAGTAATAAGCTCGGTGTAGTAATAAACTCAGTGTAGTAATACGCTCGGTGTAGTAATAAACTCGGTGTAGTAATAAGCTCGGTGTAGTAATAAGCTCGGTGTAGTAATAAGCTCGGTGTAGTAATAAACTCGGTGTAGTAATAAGCTCGGTGTAGTAATAAGCTCGGTGTAGTAATAACTGTAGTAATAAACTCGGTGTAGTGATAAACTCGGTGTAGTGATAAGCTCGGTGTAGTAATGTGCTTGGTGTAGTAATGAGCTCGGTGTAGTGGCTTCGCTAGCTCGTATTAGCTTTGTTAGCTTGTTCTTGTAGTTTGTATATTTTATTTGGTTTTCAATGTATTTTTATAGAGCCTATTTCTTCTTTTAATTGACTTTAAGATGCCTTCTGTTCAGTCTTATTTTCTGTAATGGTCCTTTCCCGTATTGTTGAATTAATACTGTTTGTTATTTCATTAATAAGAGTATTGTAAGCTTCATCTGGAGTTTCACAGTTATAATAATAATAATAATTATGCATCAGTTTTATACAGTGCTTTTTCAGACACTCAAAGACACTTTACATGTCATTATTCATTCACTCCAAACACGGTGGTGATAAACTACTGTAGCCACAGCTGCCCTGGGGCACACTGACAG